AATTTAAAGGGCATCATCACTAATTAAAAAACCAATCATTTTTTCAGTAGCAAAAGGGCACTTTGTGTCCCGCACCTCCAACTTTCTCCCTCTGCCTTCAGAGGTGATTCTCACTCTCTGGGGAAGGGTAGAAAGCAACACACAGAACATTATTTTTCAATGTTTTTTTTCCCACTCTGAAGATTGCTTTCCCAGAACCGATTTAGGTTTAGGATGGTTTGGCTTCCATGGAATGAGAATTCAGAGGCGCAGGGGGGAGGAAGTGGGGAGATAATTCAGCATTATTGAATCAAACAGAGACATTAAAAAGTTCTACTCTAAACAGAAAGGAAGCAGGATGCTATAGAAACAGGAAAACCATAGTTGGAAATGCAATAACGAGTTACAAGGGAATAAATATGAAGATGTAAAAAAGAAAAAGTACATCAAAATACAAAAAGGTGGGAATGGGAGACAGTAGCAAGAAAAGATAGATTTTTCTCTCTTTCTTTTTTTTCTCATTATTCTTAGGATGTATTGGACCCTACGTGATTATCAGTCTAAAGGAAATAAATATAGTAATGGGTTGATATACTTGAAAAATAAGGTAACCACAAATCGGAAGCACACAATAGAGTCACACAAAAAAAAAAACCCAAAAAGAAACAAACTCAAAATGGCTTAGGGACTTAAACATTAGATAAGACGCTATAAACCTCTCAGAAGAAAACATAGGCAAAACATTATTTGACATACATCTCAGCAATGTTTTCCTAGGGCAATCCACCCAAGCAACAGAAATATAAGCCAAAATAAACAAATGGGACCTAGTTACACCTATCAGCTTTTTCACAGCAATAGAAACCATAAGCAAAACAAAAGACAACCTGTGGAATGGGAGAAAATATTTGGAAAAGATGAGACTGAACATGGCTTAACTTCTAGACTATATAAGTAGCTCATACAACTTAATAAGAAAAAAACTAAACAACTCAGTCCTAAAATGGGCAGAACAACTAAACAAACAATTCTCCAATGAAGATATACAAATGGCCAATAGGCAGATAAAAAAAGGCTCAATATCGCTAATTATCAGAGAAATGCAAATCAAAATGACAATAAGTTATCATCTCACAATTGTCAGAATGGCCACCATTCAAAAATCCACAAACCATAAATGCTGGAGAGGCTGTGGAGAAAAGGGGACCCTCCTACATTGTTGGTGGGAATGAAGTTTAGTGCAGCCACTGTGGAAAACAGTATGGAGATTCCTCAAAAGACTACAAAAAGTCTTATCATTTGATCCAACAATCCCACTCCTGGGCATATATCCAGAAGGAACCTTAATTCCAAAATATACCTGCACCCCAATGTTCACAGCAGCATTGTTTACAATGGCCAAGACATAGAAGCAACCTAAAAGCCCACTGACAGATGACTCAATAAAGATGTAGTATGTAGATATAAAAGAATATTACTCAGTCATAACAAAGAAGGAAATAATGCCATTTACAGCAACATGGATGGACCTGGAGATTATCACACTAAAGTGAAATAACTCAGACAGAGAAAGACAAGTATCATATGATATCACTTACATGTGGAATTTTTAAAAATGATACAAATGAACTTATTTACAAAACAAAAACAGACTCACAGACTTAGAAAACAAACTTAGGAGTTTGGGATTAACCATTACAAACTACTATATGTAAAATAGATAAACTACAAGGATTCACTGTAGAACACAGGGGAAAATATTCAGTATCTTGCAATCTATAATGGAAAAGAACCTGAAAAAGAATAGACTATGTATATGTACAACTGAATCACTATGCTGTATACCTGAAACTAACAAAACAGCTGTATATCTGAAACTAACAAAACATTGTAAATCAACCACATTTCAATTAAAAAAAAGATAAGCTCTAAATACCTTTATTCAAAGAAAATCTTCAACTCTTACCTCTTACAAAAAGTAAAATGGGAAGCTTGAGCAGGACCAAATTATATTGAATGAGAGGTTACATACCTTCTCCAGCATGCGGCCCATGGTAGACACACATATCGTGTTTTCCTTCAGGTAAGAATGGCCCTTACTGCCCAGGGAGCGAGTCCTGCTGGGATAAGGCCTCTGTGGCAGTGGCCACCTTGTCACCACTCCATCTCACCAGGAGGCCAGGGTTTTCAGAGGGGAGGGAACACAGAGCTCATACACTTCAGATCTATTTCCTGAGAAAAACTATGGAAAGACCAAATTCACCTGCAGTGTGGGAAACATGAGCAGGGCCCCTAAGCAGATCAACAAGCCCAAAGCAAGATGGCCCGATGTTCACATCAGAACCAGAACAACAACCCTCTGGCCCCAGTTAATCGATCACCATCTTACCTGCAATGAACTGTTCGTACACAGTGTCAGGGATGTTTCTGTTGAGATTTGAGAAATCAAAAAATCAGACCAGGGAATCCGGACCTGGTGGATGTCCAGGCTCTGTCAATGGTAGAAGCGGCCCCAAGGGGGTAGCACCAGCACCGACTCCTCCATTTTCAGCAGGGTCTTCAGTAGGAAGGTGATGTGGATACAGACACCCCTATGGAGGCTGAAGCCCTCTGGAGGGTTGACACACAGAAGGTACCTGGCAGGGAACAAAGGAGAGCGGGTCTTCAGGGCCAGGCCTCTGCACAGGAATCCTGGCTTACATAAAACAGATACAACAGGAATCCCTGCACAGCACATGGCCTAGACTCAAGACACGTTCAGCAGCTTCTGGTTTGTATAGTGGAAGCACTGCCCACCCATCTCCATGTGGTCAATTACTTCGAGTCCAGGAGCACATGCAGAAGACATCTTGGCATCTGTCTAAAAGTGCTAAGCATCTGACTAGTACCTGAGCACCTGTTCTCCAGGGGCTCTCAAGCTTCTTGGCCTACAGACCCCTCTACACTCTTAATTACTGAGGACTCCAAAAGG